TTTTTGTTGGCTCTCTTTTGGAGTTCTTTGTTCCCCTTTTTCTCCTCTGCAAGTGCTCTTATTAAGATCGGTGGCCTTCTTTTTGTCCAGATCTAAGATTCTGCTTATTCTTTTGGCCGTTTGTAATATTTTCTTTTTCTTTTTCTTTTTTTTTAAGATGGAATTTCGCTCTTGTTACCCAGGCTGGAGTGCAATGGCGCGATCTCGGCTCACCGCAATCTCCGCCTCCTGGGTTCAGGCAATTCTCCTGCCTCAGCCTCCTTAGTAGCTGGGATTACAGGCACGTGCCACCGTGCCCAGCTAATTTTTTGTATTTTTAGTAGAGACAGGTTTCACCATGTTGACCAGGATGGTCTCGATCTCTTGACCTCGTGATCCACCCGCCTTGGCCTCCCAAAGTGCTGGGATTACAGGCTTGAGCCACCGGGCCTGGCCTAATATTTTATTTTTCATTAAAAATTTTTTTTGAGATGGAGTCTTGCCCTGTCGCCCAGGCTGGAGTGCAGTGGCATGATCTCAGCTCACTGCAACCTCTGCCTCCCGGGTTAAAGCGATTCTCCTGCCTCAGCTTCCCGAGTAGCTGGGAGTACAGGCGTGGGCTACCACACCCGTCTGATTTTTGTATATTTTTAGTAGAGATGAGGTTTTACCCTGTTGGTCAGGCTGGTCTCGAACTCATGACTGTGATCTACCTGCCTCTGCATCCCAAAGTGGTGGGATTACAGGCATGAACCACCACACCTGGCCTCTGTAATATTTCATTTATTTATTTATTTTGAGACAGGGTTTCACTCTGTCGTCCAGGCTGGAGTGCGGTGCCACAATCCTGGCTCACTGCAGCCCCAACCTCCTGGGCACAAGCGATCCTCCCCTGAGTAGCTGGGACTATAGGCATGTACCACCACACCCAAATAATTAAAAACAATTTTTTTTGTAGAGACGGGGTCTTGCCATGTTGCCCAGGCCACCTTCTGTAATATTTTAAACTGTAGCAACCTGGCCAGGGTCACACCTATAATCCCAGTGCTTTGGGAGGCTGAGTGGGAGGATCACTTGAGTCCAGGAGTCCAATACCAGCCTGGGCAACATGGCGAGACTCTATCTCTATTACAAAAAAAAATTTAACTGGGCATGGTGGCGTGTACCTGTAATCTTAGGTGCTTGGAAGGCTGAAAGCAGGAGAATTGCTGGAGCCCAGGAGTTTGACGCTGAAGTGAGTGTGATTGTGCCACCGCACTCCAGCCTGGGTAGCAGAGCGAGACCCCATCCCCCCAACCCACCCCCCAAAAAGAAGACAAAACTATAGAGATTATTTTGCAGCCAGAAGCATGGGGGCATGGGACAGTGAGGAGGCTATTGGAGAAAGAGAAATGGAAGTGAGGAGGGAAAGGAGGGAGCGAGCGGGAGGCATGGACTGTTGGGCTGAGCAGTGGGAGGCGTGGACTGATGGGCTGAGCAGTGGAGAGCCAGTGATCATGGGGTTCCGCAGAGCGGCTAGGCACGGGGGTGGGTGAGTGTGAAACGAAGCTGGAATTTACAAGCAATTCAGAAGTATTTGTGATCAGTGAAAGGAAGCCAGGAAGTAGAATGGTTGAGGGTGGTGAAGCACCTCTCAGATTTTTTCAAGATAAGGAAGATATCTGAATGTTTTAAGGCAAAGGAAGAAATAGCTAATAAAGAAAAGAATGAAGATGAGGGCGAGGTAAGTGTGTCAAGAACAAGAGCTGAGTGTGGAAACGGAAACCTAAGAGGGGTTCGCTTCATTGCAGAGGAGCACTTTTTCTTGCTCCAAGGCTGAGAGCACAAGGCAAGAGCTATAGCACATTCCTCTGAAGCAGTGCAGTCAGCGTCTGTAAAGGTGACATGAGGGTTCGTCACAGCACCCAGTGATCTGTTCATATCTGTCGAGTGAAATGTGTGAGAAGGACGTCTTCTGAGATGAAAGGAGTGAGTGCTTTGGAGCCGGGGCAAGAGATGCTCCAGCATAGCTGTTTTGGGGGCGTTTGCTAGGAAATCAACAGACACCCGCAGGATTGTTAGGCAGCGTGCTGGCCACATTTGATGTTGGATGGGGTGCATTTGTAGTAGGCCATGTTTTTAAAAAATTTTACTATTTATTGCAGCAGTGCTTTGCAGGAATAAAGAAAGTGAAAATTAGAGCTGTTCAGGGCTACGGATCAACAGCAGGCAGGATGGAAGGTGAGGGAACCCAGAGTTGAAGGTGGTGACAAGGGCCATTTGAGTGGCCGAGTGTGGAGCATTGAGCAACCATGTGTAGAAAATTAACTGCCAAGCACAGCTCCGTGAGTGAGCCTGGGCCAAACTAGTGAAGGAACCACCCAGCCAACCCGCAGAATGGCGGAAAAGAATCAGCCGTGTTGACTCAGTCACTGTGGTGGGCAGCTTGTCACACAGCAGAAGAGTGCAGTGCCCTGCCTCACGTTGACTGAGCGCAGCAGGAAGCCTGAGACAAGGGAGGCTGGTACAGAAGCAGAGGTCAGTCGGCTGCAGAAACGGCAGATGGGGAAGAAGAGAGGGGGCCTCTGGGGCCACCCAGAAATACTGAGCACGACGGGAGGAGTGCAGGTTTTGGAATGTGAGCGCTAGGAGGAGGCTTGCCATCTTGAGCTCTTGCACCTGGCGGCAGGTGGTGGTGGTGTGAGGTGACGGAGGAGCCCAGACACAGCTCCGACTGTCCCACCTTCTGTCCCATTAAAGACCTTGCCTTGTGCTACACAGAGGACAGAGAAGTCTTCCAATGCGACTTTCTTCATCATCCCATTTCCAAAGACAAACCAGGGATACAGATATGAATTGTAGAAGACTTGAGGTAGCAGATCAGTCACGTGACTTTTCCAAGTCCGATTAAGTCTTGTACCCCTACTTATCAAGACCAATTAAAGGTTTTTTTTTTTTTTTTTTTTTTGAGACGGAGTTTCGCTCTTGTTACCCAGGCTGGAGTGCAATGGCACGATTTCGGCTCACCGCAACCTCCGCCTCCTGGGTTCAGGCAATTCTCCTGCCTCAGCCTCCTGAGTAGCTGGGATTACAGGCACACGCCCCCATGCCCAGCTAATTTTTTGTATTTTTAGTAGAGACGGGGTTTCACCATGTTGACCTGGATGGTCTCGATCTCTTGACCTCGTGATCCACCCGCCTTGGCCTCCCAAAGTGCTGGGATTACAGGCGTGAGCCACCGCGCCCAGCCCCGGTGTTACCTAGTTTTACGGGATACCTGTAGGGCCTTCTGGAAAGCGTCTTATAAAAAGTTTTGGGTTTCTCCTAATACGATCATGTTCAGATCCTGCCTAGATGAGGGACATAGGCATGAAAAACAGTGCAGAAATGTCTAGAGTAATGTCGGGGAGGTTTGAAATATAGTTGACAGGTGGAGCGGAGTGGCTCTCTCCTGTAGTCCTAGCATTTTGGGAGGTTGAGGCAGGTGGATCTCTTGAGCTCAGGAGTTTGAGACCAGCCTGGGCAACCTGGTGAAACCCTGTCTCCACTAAAAACACAAAAATTAGCCATGCATGATGGTGCACATCTGTCATCCCAGCTACTTGGGAGGCTGAGGTGGGAGGATCACCTGAGCTTGGGAAGTTGAGGCTGCAGTGAGCCGAGATTACATCACTGCACTCTAGCCTGGACAATGAGAGCAAGATCCTTTGTAAATAATAATACCTTTGCTATGTGAAAAAAAAAAAAACAAGAAAAAAGGGGAAAAAAGGAAATATACTTGATATAAGGATATTGCATATTTTGTTGGCCCTTCGTTTATTAAGAAGGAAGATCAGTAGTGAAAAGAACCCTATATTCCACAGTTATTGAATATAATCCCACTAAAATTATCCAGAATGGTAAAGAAATTAAATATTCTAGTTAAGCGAATATTTGTGAAATTAAATTAACAAACATTACAACTTTAATTTTAATAATTTTGAATGGAAGTATTTCATAATCAATTACAACCCCTCTGTCTTAATATTCAGAGAGTATTGAATAGCATGTATACTTTTCTTAGGTTATTTGTTGAATTGAACTATGTTATTCTGGGGGCAGGGAGAGGTAAATAATTAAGATTTGGGCCGGGCGCGGTGACTCACGCCTGTAATCCCAGCACTTTGGGAAGCCAAGGCGGGTGGATCACGAGGTCAAGAGATCGAGACCATCCTGGTCAACGTGGTGAAACCCTGTCTCTACTAAAAATACAAAAAGTTAGCTGGGCACGGTGGCGCGTGCCTGTAATCCCAGCTACTCAGGAGGCTGAGGCAGGAGAATTGCCTGAACCCAGGAGGTGGAGATTGCGGTGAGCTGAAACTGCGCCATTCACTCCTGCCTGGGTAACAAGAGCGAAACTCCGTCTCAAAAAAAAAAAGAAAAAAAAAAGTAACTAAGATTTACTGAGTAGCTGCTCTGCTAGGAGTTGTGCTATTCTGATAGCTCTTCTTATTTAACCCGTAGTGTCCCCCAGCCCAGTTCAAGGAGGTCACTGTGTTTTACCTACCGGGTAGGCTTATACACACATTGATTAGGTAGGTGGCCTGCCCTATCTAGTAAGCCACAGGACTGGTATTTGAACCCTAGCAGTTTGGTACTAGAGGCCATGCTTTTAACACTCGGATACTAATGTAAACTTCACCTCAGCACTCTGGGGTAGACATTATCATCCCCATTTTACAGGTGTGGAAACTGAGGCTTAAAAAAGTTAAGTAACACTTCAAGTCAGCTGGTACATGGCTACCAGTTCTTTTTCTTTCTGGAACTCTTTTATATTGGCCCAGGTAAGGCTTGCATTTGCCAGTCAATGAAACCATTTCTTTCATCTTCCTTTGGCTCACTTATCCTCCCTTTTCTTTCCCCAGAAAACATCTTTTGTAATCATGACGCAATATAGGAGTGATTTGGTTTCCTACGTTACAAAATGTGCTCTGAGATCTTTTGGAGAAACATAGGCTTTGCAGAGGTTATATTCTGAACCCATTGAAAACTTTGTTTTCCAGAGAGATTGGAACAATTATCAGGTCATTGGGATGCTGCCCTAGTGAAGGAGAGCTGCATGATCTGATTGCAGAGGTGAGTCTGCGATACGTTTCACTCAGCATTCCCTCGCGGGACAACTACTCCTTGTAATTAACAACAACCCTTCCTGAAACTAAAACAATACCCTAAACTACTGAATGTGCTCGGTGGAAATTCCGGGATAACTGTTCACATTAGTCAACCAACAGGGTCTGAAAGAATTCAGAGCAGATCTTGAAGAAATGATGATGAACAAGTAGCACGTAAGGAACCCACTTTAGAAACGATCCTCTCTGTAAAATTAGCTAAGAAAGGCCAGTAGATACCAGGGGCTGACCGTCTGCGGAAAGGCTGTTGGCAGGTGAAAGGAGTATGGTAAATAATGCCAGTTCAAAGGGGAGAGAAGCAGAAATAGGGGCAGTAAGGAATTTTTATTTACTTGAGGAAATAACACTTTTTTTTCTTTTGAGATGGAGTGTCGCTCTGTCGCCAGGCTGGAGTGCAGTGGCGCGATCTTGGCTCATGACTGTCTCCACCTCCCGGATTCAAGCAATTCTCCTGCCTCAGCCTCCCGAGTAGCTGGGATTACAGGCATGTGCCATTGCACCCAGCTAATTTTTGTATTTTTAGTAGAGACAGGGTTTCACCATGTTAGCCAGGATGGTCTTGATCTCTTGACCTTGTGATCTGTCCACCTCGGCTTCCCAAAGTGCTGGGATTACAGGCGTGAGCCACCGCGCCTGGCAGTATCATTTTTTTTTTAAGCATTTAGAAATATTCAGTAAAGGAATCTAAGTTGTAAGAACACATTGTGTTTACGTTTTGGGATTCAGTAAAGCTATTTTTACCAAGAGGAAGAGAAAAAGGTTGTTTCTTCTGAGTTGATGCTCACATTAAAAAATACTGATTACTCCTTAAAGGGTTTATGCACAAGGCTGGGATTAGCATTAGGGAAAAGCAAGCGGGCACCGTGGAAGAGCTAAGAACTAGAGGCTAAAATCACAGTCATCACGTGCCCAGGAAAGTAAGTGGCCTCTGAAGGTCAGAAGAGGACAATCTCTAGAGTCGAGTCCCTTTGTGGTTTGTTTGTCTGTTTTAATCTCTGTTGGGAGTCAGCAAATCATGGTGCCTGGCCAGATCCTGCCCACCACCTGTGCATGTAAATAGAGTTTCACTGGAACACAGCTAAACTCATTTATTTATGTATTATCGATGGTTGTTTTCTGACTACGAGGGCAGAGTTCAGTAGTTGCAACAAAGACCTGTGACTTGGAAAGCTTAAAATATTTACCATCTGGCCCTTTGCAGAAAAAGCTTGCCAACTCTTCATCTATGGGCTTCTGTGCCGAAAGAGAACAAATACTGCATCTAGAACTTGAAGATCTGAGTTCAAGCCCCACAGCCACCACTTATGGCCATGTGGCCTTTGGTGAGCCACTTAATCCTTCAGAGCCTGGCTCCACATCTGCAAAAGGAGTAATAATGTGAAAGTGTTTTTATGAGGATTAAATGTAATAACTGAGGAATCAGCTGTTACTTAGTGGACACGCAGTACAGATCCGAGTTTGCTTACACTCCAGGTGGCTCCGGGACAGTATCTCCACTGGTTTGGGCAGTTAGCCACAGTGGGTGCTTAGGTCTTAAGTTTTATTTTATTTTTACTCTTTTTTAAGGCACATGACGCAGCCTTTGAGATGCAGGTATTTAGAATACTTATGTACCAATAGGGGCCGCTGAGCTATTAAGCTCTGTAAATATGTTTCTGTATTTGTATACCAACACTCTTTACTCTAATTAAATCGTAGTGATAAGCAGCTTTGGGTATAACTACCTTTTAAGAGCTTTTCCACATAAATGAGTGAGAAAAAAGCAAAAATTTGAGTTGATAAATACAAGTATGTATTTGTACATACTTAAATACATTAAATAGTTAATTTATGTAAACAGATTTAGAAAGTCAAAGCCCCATAAAAGTCAGCATCTAGGGGTAAATGTCATATTGCTAAATGTTCTGTAATAGTTTCAGAGATCAAACTATTTAAATGTATGTGTGTGTATATGCTTTGAAATTGTTCTATAAGGCTGGGTGCAGTGACTTGCTCATGTAATCCCAATACTTTGGGAGGCTGAGGCAGGTGGATCATTTGAGGTTAGGAGTTTGAGACCAGCCTGGCCAACATGGTGAAATCCCATCTCTACTAAAAATACAAAAAAATAGCTGGGCGTGGTGGCACATACTTGTAATCCCAGCTACTTGGGAGGCCGAGGCGGGGAGGATCACTTGAATTCGGGAGGCAGAGGTTGCAGTGAGCCAAGATTATACCACTGCACTCCAGCCTGGGCAACAGAGCAAGACTCTGTCTCAAAAAAAATATTGTTCTATAAAAAGTTGAAACCTGTGTCCTATTTCTCTGGTTGTCATATACTTGACCTTTAGTGTCGACACATTCCCTTCTCTTTAATTTTTATAATGTTCAGCCCTTTGCTTCCTGAAGATCAATTTCAAATCTGGTGTTACTCTTGAAATTGATCATTTAAAGAATCATTTAACTTTGATCCCTACGGTTCACGTTCTATAATTAGTAACTTCCTGCAAATATTTTCTGCTTTTTGGAATATCACAAAAACTGGCAACTGTGAGGATTAGTAAAAAATCTTACTGACATATAGGCTACCAAGTAATCCTTCCTTTAATATTAAATTAGAGCCTTCTGGGGTCTTCAGGGTATGGGAGCTGGAAGGAGATAATTTTCATACAAATGGAAAGGTTATTTAGAGGTCTATGTCTTGAAGTTTCAACCAAAGTGTAATTACGGAGAACTTTAATTAATTACAAAGTAAAACTAAAAGGTGATTTCAAAATAAGACCTGTGTTTGGTGACATTATTGACTCAGGCGTAGGAACTAAGCAGGGATTGTGACTTTTTATTGAAGTGGCCATCCGCAGCCTCCACTCCCCACACTTGCCCTTCTGTGGTTGTGGGTATCGGGCAGCACCTTGCTGGCTGCCCATCTGTGTTGCTCCTGCGCATGCTGTGTTCTCTGTGTTCTATTAACCATCTCCAGCTTTCCCCTTGGCTCCCTCTTCCATCTTTCTGGCCATTGTATGAGGCCCCCTTAACTTCTGTGCTCAAACAACTCTGCTTGGCCTCTGTTAGCTGGGTGTGGAGAGCTGGCTAGCAAGTCATTCCATGGATTTAACAAACCCGGGTCTGCAGTTACCTAATCTAGTCAACCCCGGCCTGTAGAAGACACCAGTGCCTTTCTCACCAGCCTGATGCCCTTGGTGAGCAGCGCGGCTGAGCCCTCCCATGGAACAGAATCCTCCGGTGAGTCTTCTGCCCACCCACTGCTGTCGGCTTGGTTTGGCCACTTCACTCCACATTCGGGAGCACTCGCTCCCGGTCTCCCCCTAGCAGCAAGTTTGCCCCATCTCCTGGGGGCCTTGCCAGAGTGTTAAGTCTGTGTCCTGCGGAAGTGCCTGAAGTTGATGAATTCTTACTCATCCAGTTTTATATTCTGGGCGTCTTGGTCAGGCACCGTCGTCCAATCTCAGGGGTACTCCCCTAGCTCCTAGTTCAGGAGCCAATTCCTACCTAATTCCTTTTGCTATTAAATTGATCACTAGAATTTGATTAGAGTAAATTGTGTTGGTATGCAAATGCAGAAAAATATTCACAGAGCTTATTCCAACTGCTACCTAATTCCTTCTGCTGTTTTAGTGCATAGTCTTTTTCTTTCCTTATTAGGCTCAGCACTTCCTCAGCCAGATTATGCTGGGATTTCACACTCCATCATTGGCTGGAGCAGCCCATGGGAAGTGTGGCCTTGGCTCAAATGCGATGGCTGGGATCATCACTCAATTACATTTCCTGCAATTCAGTGCCTGTAGATTTAGGAGGTGCATTTCATTGGGAGGCTGAGGTGAGAGGATTGCTTGAGCCCGGGAGTGACGCACAATCATGGTTCACTGCTCTCCAGTCTGGGTGACAGAGCTGGATCTCAACTCTTTTTTTTTCTTTTTTTTGAGCTAGAGTCTTGCTCTGTTGCCCAGCTGGCGCAATCTCAGCTCACTGCAACCTCCACCTCCCAGGTTCAAGTAATTCTGCCTTAGCCTCCCGAGTAGCTGGGAATACAGGTGTCTGTCACCACGCCCCACTAATTTTTGTAGAGGCAGGGTTTCACCATGTTGGCCAGGCTGGTCTCGAACTCCTGACCTCAGGCAGTCTGCTCGGGATTATAAATGTGAGCCACTGCATCTGGCCCAGCTCTCAACAGGAATGAAGGAAGGAAGAGAGGGAGGGAGGGAGGGAGGAAGGAAGGAAGGAAGGAAGGAAGGAAGGAAGGAAGGAAGGAAGGAAGGAAGGAAAGAAATAGAATTTTCATGGCTGCCATAGTTGTCAAATGGAAGAGCTGTAATGTGAACCGGGTGTCCAATGGACAAATGTGACCAAAAGGAGTTGGCTGCTCTCTCTATTCCTAAGCTCACTAGGGCCTGCCCCTAGCTTTCAGGATTAGATCAAAGCATGAAACTACTTAGGAATGAAATGAAGGTTCTCATCAGATCCAAGGAGTGGGGGAAGACTGAGCAGAAACTTGGCCAGCACATGGTGAAGATAGGCCGGTGATGGGTAAGAATAGGCCAGGCTTATCCTGGAATTCTGTTCTTGGATAAAAAGAGGATGCCATGGCAGGGAGACCACGGCACTGATAGTCCTCAGCAAAGCTGTCCCTCTAGACAACTGCCGTCAATATGTGATGGTGACCTCGACATCTGTGCGCAGCCGTCATTCCTAGATCTTTGTGATATTCCTGGGAGTCACTGTTTTCCTTCCGGGTTGGACTTCTTTATATCCCGGGTTTTCCTCTTTCTAGTTCCTCTAGCATTTTAACACATTCTTAACAGCTTCTTGGAAAAAGAGTGCCCTGGAGGTAAAATTTTTGAGATTTGTATGTTTGAAAGAGACGAAGCGAACCTTTGGCTAGACAGAGTTCTACAGTCAATGGATTTTTCTTCATTAACTTGATTTGGGTTTTTTTCAGGTCTCCATTCCGGGTTCTGAAGGCACTCCTCGTCTTCATGTTCCTGGTAATGCTGTTGAGATAGTGCAGATCCATTCTGATTCCCAATCCTTTGTACGTAACCATTAATTTTTTTTTCCTGAGACCCTGGACAGTCTTTTTTCCTCAGTGTTTGAAATTTCACAGTGATTTACCTTGGTGTGAACACATATCTTACGTGTTAGGTACCTGGTGGGCCTTTTCAAACTGGTGACTTGTATCTTTTGGTTCCAGGAAATTTTCTTGTGATTGTTTTGTTTTCTTTTTTCTCTCTTTTGGAACTCCTATTATTCATTTTTGTGTTTCTGGACTAGTTTTAAATACTCTTTTTTTGTTTATTTATTTTATTTTTAGTAGAGAGAGACAGGGTTTTTACCACGTTGGCCAGGCTGGTCTTGAACTCCTGACCTCAAGTGATGTGCCTGCTTTAGCTTCCCAAAATGCTAGGATTACAGGTGTGAGCCACTGCGCCCAGCCTAATGTTCTTATTTTTCATCCCTATCTTTTTGTTCTCTCTGGTGGATTTCCTGAACTTTCTCTTTCAGTATTTTTATTGAGTTTCTCTCTTCTGTTGTTTTAAATTTCCAGTAGCTTGTTTTTGTTCGTCGAATGTTCTTTTCTAAATAGCACCCTGTCCCTGTTTCATAGCTCTGAAGAGAACAGTGGTAGTTTACTTGAAGTTTTCTTCTCTTTGCATAATGCATTTTCTCCAAGTTGCTATCTGTGTCTTTGTTTATGTTAGCAGCTTTCCTCCGTGTCTGATAAACCTTGACTATCAGTTCACAACAAACACATGCATGGAACTTGGCAACTTGAAACTTCATCACTGGGTAATCTGGGAATCACCAACATCTGAATTTCGGGGATTTTCTCTTGCGCAGGCTTGACTCTTTGGAATAGTCTTCAGTTTTCTGCTTGGAGGCAAAAGCATCTTGCTGCCAGTTCACACACCTTCTTTTTCACACTCTTTAGAAGGTAAATCTCTAAACTCCTGCTGGGATGGAGGGAGGCACTCAGTGGGAAAAACTGAGAGGGGATTTACAGCTTTTCAGACATATTTTACCCTAGTTCTCCTAATTTTAGTTCCTGCTCCCTCGCCCTCACTTCCAGAAGTAACCAGTGCTTTTTGAGGATTCTTTTTTTTTTTTTGAGACGGAGTTTTGCTCTTGTTACCCAGGCTGGAGTGCAATGGCGTGATCTCGGCTCACCGCAACCTCCGCCCTCTGGTTCAGGCAATTCTCCTGCCTCAGCCTCCCGAGTAGCTGGGATTACAGGGACACGCCACCATGCCCAGCTAATTTTTTGTATTTTTAGTAGAGACAGGGTTTCACCATGTTGACCAGGATGGTCTCAATCTCTTGACCTCGTGATCCGAAGATTCTGTACTCACTACTGTGTTGGGTTCAGTTTTCTAGATCTACTAGATTATTGCCACTCATCCATCTGCTTCACAGCTTCCAATATGAGCCATATTCTAGTGGTAATTAGACTTGTTGTCTTTCATCTTCTGCCCTAATACTTAATACAATTTAGCACAATTATTAGATCTGTAATAAGAGTAAGTTCTGTAAATGCTGGTACCAGAATGTATGGAGATTCAGGCTTGCAGAGCACTGCAGAGCTAGATCTGACTCATGTGCTCACAAACTCCAAGTTTACTGTAAGTAAAAGCCATTTAAAATGATTGCGAGCTGGTACTCATTCACTCACCAAATAATTAGTGAGCATTTTCCATATGCCAGGAACCAAGGACACCGAGGCAAGAAACCCAGAGAACAAATCCCCATGCCTGGCCGGGCGCGGTGGCTCACACCTGTAATCCTAGCACTTTGGGAGGCTAAGGTGGGCAGATCACCTGAGGTCAGGAGTTCAAGACCAGCCTGGCCATCATGGTGAAACCTCATCTTAAAAAAAAAAAAAAAATCCCCATGCCAATTTGGGTCGGGATAATTTAAAATATTCTAACAACATGAACAGCAAAAGTTTCAACACATTTCTTTCTTTTTTCTTTTCTTTGTTTTTGAGACAAGGTCTTGCTCTGTTGCTCAGGCTGGAGTGCAGTGGTGCAATCATGGCTCACTGCAGCCTCCATCTCCTGGGCTCAGTCCTCCCACCTCAGCCTCCCAAGTAACTGGGACTATGGTTTTGCTCCACCACACCCAGCTAATTTTTTTTAATAGAGATGGGGTTTCACCATGTTGCCCAGGCTGGTGTCAAACTCCTGAGCTCAAGCAATCTGCCTGTGTCTTCCTACCAAAGTGCTGGGATCACAGGCGTGAGCTACTGTGCACGGCCCAATACATGCATTTAAAAATATTGGAGATGGTATTCAGTCCCTACTCAGTTAGCTGAGTGAGGAAACCCGCAAATCAATGTCAAGAGTTTTTTTTCTATCTGTGGTCAATGGTTTAATGCCAAATTTATAGTGTTGAGACAACTGTGATGTCAGAGTGTGATCGATACTCCTGTAACCAGTTAAAATAATATAATGACACTGCTGAGTCATTTCCTACGCTATTCATCTTGATGGAAAGTATCACACCACACCAGGCACACCACAAGCCCCAGAGGTCCCAGGTCTCCATCTCTCATCATTCTTAATTGGTTAAGTATCCTTGGATTTTTTTTTTCTTTGAAACTTCACAATTGGCTTTTGAGTTGCTAGAACAAAATGTACGTAATCTACATCCTGGTGAAGTGGGAATTTCTAGCCATCTGTACCTGAACTACATCATTTTGATTCTAGAAGAGCCCTGGGACTTTATATCATTTGTAATTTGACTGTATCAAGTTTCTCAGAGACTGAGAAAGGGTGGGAGTAGTTATTTTCTTGTTTTGAAATAGTGGGTGATACATGTTTTATCTGTTCCTACACATCCTGGCATTGGGAGACATGGGAGAATGGAATCGATCTGCTCTGATCTTTTTAATGTTAGGTGCTGGAATTTAGTTATAGAGCTGATGGCACTTTGCCTATTAGTTAGTAATGGCTACCGTCCAGGTCCAGCCATAGCTTCTGAGTAGAATTAGGTAAATTTGGGGCAATGAGGGGAATATGTTGTAAAAAGCACATACTGAGAGTATTGCTTATTTGTAATTGGTAGAAAAACATTAAATGATGCTAAAGCAGGATGATCAGTAGCAGGAAGACATGACTCAGGGAAATCTGCAGAAGTGTTTTCTTCCTCTATTAAATAAATAAAATGTGTTTTCATGTAGAACACGATCAATCGTGGTAATAGACTAATAAGTACGGCTTTAGTCCAGGTTTCTTATTGTGTAAGTAATATCCAGATTACAGAAAATTATAAATAAATAGGAAATTCCTTTCCAGCAGTCCCATCACCTTAATATAATCGTTGTTAATATGTTGGTACACTTCCTTACATATCGTTTTTCTGTGTAGGTCTTTAACTGGACTGTAATATTTTGTTGTTAGCATATTATTTTTTTTTTTTTTTTTTTTTTTTAGAGACTGGGCCTTATTTTGTTACCCAGCTGGAGTACTATGGCATGATCATCACTCACTGCTGCCTTGAACTCCTGGACTAAAGTGATCCTCCCATCTCAGCCTTCCAAACAGCTGAAACTACAGGCATCTGCCACCACTCCAAGCTAATTTTTTTTTCTTTTGTAGAGACAGGGCTTTGAAATGTTGCCCAGGCTGGTCTTGAACTCCTGGCCTCAGGTGATCCTCTCACCTCAGCCTCCCAAGTACAGGGATTACAGGTGTGAGCATATGAGCCACATGCCTGGCAGAACTATAATCTTATAGTAACAGTTCAGTAGGTAAAATTCCGAATATTGCTTTTTTCCACCTAGTCATATCACAAATGATATCTCCATGTTATTGCAGAGTTTTCATTATAAAAATGCATGCTAATTAAATTGCACAAGAAAAAAAGGAAGGGAATGCTCTCTCTTGTATACATCACTCAGACACAGTCAGAATATTTTACCTTTTCCACTCAGTATTACAGCAAAATGATTTTTCCCTTCTGTTATCTAGTTTTTAGAAACCAACATTTTAAGAAAGAAATGCTGTTATGTGAATGAAACTTAAGGATATTACACTGAGCAAAATAAACTACAGTTGACCCTAAACCACATGGGGGTTCAAAGCACTGACCCCGTGCAGTTAAAAATCCAAGTATAATTTTGCCTCCCCCAAAACTTAAACTAAAAGCCTACCATTGACTGGAAGTCTTATTAATAACATACACAATCAGTTAACAAAGATTTTGTATGTTATATGTATTATTTACTGAATTCTTACAATAAAGTAAGCCAGAGTAAAGAAAATGTTATTATCATTATTATTATATTTTTTGAGACGGAGTTTCGCTCCTGTTACCCAGGCTGGAGTGCAATGGCGCGATCTCGGCTCACCGCAACCTCCACCTCCTGGGTTCAGGCAATTCTCCTGCCTCAGCCTCCCAAGTAGCTGGGATTACAGGCACGCGCCACCATGCCCAGCTAATTTTTTGTATTTTTAGTAGAGACGGGGTTTCACCATGTTGACCAGGATGGTCTTGATCTCTTGACCTCGTGATCCACCCACCTCGGCCTCCCAAAGTGCTGAGATTACAGGCGTGAGCCACCGTGCCCGGCCAGAAAATATTATTAAGAAAACCATAAGGAAGAGAAAATATATTTACTGTCCAAAAGTGGAAGGGGCTCATCACAAAGGTCTCGTCCTCACTGTCTTCACGCTGAGTAGGCTGAGGAGGTGGAGGAAGAGGTTGGTTTTGTTGTCTCAGGGTAACAGAGGTGGAAGAAAATCCATGGATAAGTGGATCTGTGGATTTCAAATCCATGTTTGAAGGTCACTGTAGGTATAAATATTAATGCACAAATACTGTATGATTCCACTTATGAGGTATCCAAAATGGTCCAACTCCTAGAAACAGAGTACAGTGGTAGTGGCCAGGGAGTGGGGGGAGGGAAAAGGGAGCTGCTGTTCAGTGAGTATAGCATTTCAGTTTTGCAAGAGGAAAAAGTTCTAGAGATCTGTTTCACGACAATGTACATGTAGTTAACACTGCAGTACTGTACACTTAACGGTGGTTAAGATGGGCTGGGCATGACAGTGCACCCCGTAGTTTCAGCTACTTGGGAGGCTGAGGCTGGAGGACTGCTTGGGGCGAGGAGTTCAGGACCAGCCTGAGCAACATTGTGAGACCCTGTCTCCACAAAAAAATTTAAAAATTAGCCGGGCGTGGTGGTTTGTCCCTATAGTCCCAGCTACTTGGGAAGCTGAGGCGGGAGGATCACTTTTGCCCAGGAGTTGAAGGCTGTAGTGAGCTACCATGGCACCACCATACTCCAGCCTGGGCAACAGAATGAGACCCTGTCTCTAAAAAAGAAAAAAATAATAAGCCACTGAAGTATACAGAGGTTATATGTAGGTTATATGCAAATAGTGTGCCATTTTATATAAGGAAGTTAAGCATTTGCAGATTTTAGTATCTATGAGGAGTCTAGGGACCAATCCATCATGGATACAGAGTGACAAGTCTACTAATATTAATATTTTTCATGCCAGTATTCTATAGTCAGAGTTTAAGTGCTTCCTAATATTTAATTATATGGCAATAACCATATCAATAAATAGAAACAATATTCAGTTGAATAAATATCCCATATCACATATCCATTCATCCATCGGTAAAGGCTGCTAACAGTTTTTAATATCATGGATACCGCATGATAAACATTATTTGAATCAAGTAGAGGCCCTTTTCAAGTTTTAGAGAGCCCTGTGCAGCAAGCGAAGGCAGTGATGGGTTGCTGAAGGGCTTTAAATGAGAATAACATGATGAGATTTGCGGTTTATTTTAGTTCAGATTTGTTTTTCTTGAATGAGATTGTACTATAGACAAACCAGTCTGATGGTAGTAAGAAGTTAGACTGGAATAATTTTCAGTAATCCTTTCCCTGGGTCATAGCTGACAGCCTGGAGCCCTTTGTACATTTGGGCAATGTTTTTATTTGTCCCTTATATTCAGTAAAACTTAATTGCCATGTTTCTATTATGCTGTGGTCAGAATGTATGTGTCCCTCCGAATTCATATGTTGGAACTTTAATCCCAGTGAGATAGTATTGGGACATGGAGCCTTTGGAAGACAATGAAGTCTTGAGGGTAGGTCCCTCATGAATGGGATTAGCAGTGTTATAAAAGGGCTGGAGGGAATTAGCTAGGCCCCTTTTTGCCCTTCTGTCCCTTCCGCCATGTTAGATCACAGTGTTCATCCACTCTGGAGGCCACAGCATTCAAGGCACCATCTTGGAAGCAGAGACTAGTCCTTTACCAGACACCAAGCCCGCTGGTACCCTGAGCTGGGACTTCCCAGCCTCCATACTGCCAGCAGTACATGTGTGCTGTTCATACATTACCCAGTCTAAGGTATTTCATCCTAGCAGCACAACTGGACTAAGGCAGAAATTGGTCTCCGTGGGACTGTCGCTATAACAAATGCCCGAAAACGTAGAGGTGGCTTTGGAACTGGATAACGGGTAGAGGCTGGAAGACTTTGAGGTGTGGTAGAAAAGCCTGAACTGCTGTGAACAGAGCACGGGAGGTGATTCTGGTGAAGGCTCAGAGAAGAGAGCTGTAGAGAGCGCCTACGTCTTCTCAGAGGTGATCTCAGTAGACAAGAACAGAATGTTGGTGGAAATACGGATGGTAAAGGCAATTCTGATGAGGTCTCGGACAGAAATGAGGGAAGAGGTACTGGAACCTGGAGGAAGGCCATCCTCGCTGTAATCCCAAGGCGCTGGGATTACAGGTGTGAACCACTGCGCCCAGCCTAGAATAAATAATTTTTCTAAAGTAAGTGGCTTTCAAATTTTTTATTTGTAAAGACAACATTTTTAGTAAATGCCAATTAATTTTTGTGATCTTATTCTATTCAAGGGAGAGAAATATTTTCTAAATTGTATTTATGTTTTGGTTTTGAAATATGGTTTATGTTAAAATTTGTACATATACTATTTAGAGCCCAATATGAACTATCTTGTGCTTTATATATTTTTTACTAAAAATAGTTAAAACAGATTTGAATGCGTATCTCACTTGGTGACCTGGAACTAGTTGAAATGTAGGTGCTTTATAGACCATCTTAGCTACTGACATTATCTTGTTTTTTTTTGTGAAGCATGAAATAGTTCCGTTTATTGACTGATTGTTATGTCACTGGGGAGAAATGAATTTTCACGGTGTGTTTTATTGTGCCTATTTAGTGGGTTCAGCATTAAAATAAATAATCCTGCTATGAGAAAAGAGATGGCCTGATGATTTCTCTATGGAAATGGAAGAACCCCAGGCCGTGATCCCATCAAAACACCTGACCGACTCCGCTGCCCTCAAATAGGCACTTGACCTCCTTGTGCCTGTATTTCGTCAAATCCAAACGGATTAAGAAAATTGACTTATACCAAATTTGAGTGAGAAGCACAGTATTTGCCACATGCTTTGAGACTGAGATAAATGTTGATATTATTTAAAAGTCCCACAGTATTTATTGAGCTGGTTCCACATGGGGGAAGAGGAAGCAGGGAGACCGCAGAGTGCCGGAAGGCACTGTGTGAGCCTCATTCGGTTCCCTTTGTGTGGCAGTGAAGGCTATATATTTTCTTCAGGTCACCTACTCCACCTTCATTCTTTGGAGGAGGAGAAGCCAGGCGTGCGAGGGCCGTGGATTTCCGGGTGAACACCTGCTGGCACACTATTAAGAGGAATGCCTTGCGAATGATGCTTTCATCAGGCTGCACTTGAGGGGTCTTCCGGCAGAGGTTTTCCTTTACATCCACAAATGCTGCCTGGGTTACTGTTAAAATTACTGTTCCTCCTCGGCCTTTCTCTTAGAAGAAACAAACTAGATTTGACTTACTTTGCCTCATTCATGTTTGCAGTAACAGGATGTATTTGTTTTGTGAGTTTCTGCTGTCTTTTGAAGAGGAGGGATGTGGAGTTTGGTGAATATTTTTTACTCTCGCCTTTTTTTTCAGTCTGAAGAGGCCACGTGGGGAAACAGCAGAGGTGGAGGCATCACTGCTGACCCACACACCTTGTCCTCTAGACGTGGGGCGAGGCACCAAGGGGTGAGGGAGAAAGTATGAAATGTGCCTAGCAATTCCATACATTATCTGATTTAATTGCCACATTCCACGTGGCATTTTACAGATAGGTGGCAGAGCCCAACTTCTGTATACACAGGTGGGTCTACATGGTGGGTCAGTGAGGATGTGCCTGAAATGTCAGCACCAGTGATGGATTCTTTTTTATTTTTGGAATTTTTGTTAAAACCAGAACATTTACTACATGACTAATTGCTGAAATTCATAAGGTGAACTGGACGTCGCAACAGCTGCCCTCTTAGGTTGAGGTGTTGTTCCTTCATGGAATCCATGCCTGAATCTGCGGTATACAATCTTGAGGTGCCTCACGTGACCAGTCCCGGTGATATTTTGTCTTTCAGCCTCGGCACTCCAGTTATACTTTCTCTTGCGTTTGGCGGGGTGGCCACATTTGCCACAGGTCCACGTCTGAAGGTGGTAGGCCTCAGAGCCACAGCGGTGGCACAGTGTGTGCATCTTACCGTGACGCTTTCCAAATGATGACTTCCCTTCGCCTTCTCGCTTCTGTGGCGGAGACCAGCGGCCAGTGATTGATTGTTTTAGGAAATTGTGCCATTGCGTGCCATAGAACCAGAAGTGTGTACACCTCTTCATCATCATAGACTCTTACAAAGCACCGTCATATCTCGTGGCACCCTCACGGCCATCCTGGAGGTTACAGTTCCCCCTGTATTAGACATGGGGATGCTAAAGCTAGAGGGTGGATTTTAATAACATTCTTAACTATTCTTGGTCTAACATGGGGAGTATCTTGTGATATTTTTCTATAAGAAAGGTGATGTCTTTTTTTTTTTTTTTTTTTTTTTATAAGGAGTTTCGCTCTTGTTACCCAGGCTGGAGTGCAATGGCGCAATCTCGGCTCACCGCAACCTCCGCCCCCTGGGTTCAGGCAATTCTCCTGCCTCAGCCTCCTGAGTAGCTGGGATTACAGGCACGCGCCACCATGCCCAGCTAATTTTTTGTAATTTTTAGTAGAGACGGGGTTTCACCATGTTGACCAGGATGGTCTCGATCTCTTGACCTCGTGATCCACCCGCCTCGGCCTCCCAAAGTGCTGGGATTACAGGTTTGAGCCACCGCGCCCGGCCGATGTCTTTTAAAATTATTTATTTATTTACTTTTCATACCCAGTCCTGTAGAACATCCAGTTTTTAAAAAAGACTGTGATACAGAAAGAAGTCAAGTGGATTTTCCCAACGTGACTTTGCTCTAAGTGAAGAAATGCAATGACTTTGTAGTCTTTTCAAACATGTCTGATGTAATTTACAGGATCTTTCTTTAATTCATTTAAGTATAATTGAGTTTTCTCTTGGAGAAAGTAGGTCTGGATCGCACCATTTTTTCTGCATCAACTCTGTGAAATACAGTTTTTGTTTGTTTGTTTGTTTGTTTTGGAGGCAGAATCTTGCTCTGTTGCCCAGGTTGGAATGCAGTGGGGTAATCTTGGCTCACTGCAACCTCCATCTCCTGTGTTCAAGCGATCCTCCTGCCTCAGCCTCCCCATTAGCTGGGACTGCAGGTGTGCACCACCATGCCCAACTAATGTTTGTATTTTCAGTAGAAATGGGGTTTCACCATGTTGGCCAGGCTGGTCTCAAACTCCTGACCTCAGGTGATCCACCCACTTTGGCTTCCCAAAGTGCTATGATTACAGGTGTGAAAGATAGTTCTGAATTCTGAATATCTGCTAATCTCCAGTTGATAGGTATACAGACTTCTGCTTGATAGTGATTCAAAGTCTTTGGATAAAAATACGCCATATATATTTAGAATATATGTTACAGTGTTTGCTGAAGTCACTTTAATGGTGCACCACACAGAGTGGCTTAAACAATAGAAATTTTTTGTCTCACAGTTCTAAAGGCTGAAAGTTTAAGATCAAGGTATCAGCATGAGTAAACATCTGCCCTATTCTTCTTGTTTTTCTTTTATGACATTGGAATATACCGTATTTGAAAAATGCATTTTAGAAAAGCTAATGGAATCTAAATAAAATTTGGAGTTTAGTGACTATTAATGTATTAATATTGATTCATTAGTTATGACAAGTGTATTATAATGTAAGAGTTAATAATCGAGGAATTATATTACAAATGAAATTACAAATTATGTTACAAACCAATAGTAATCAAAACAGTGTAGTACTGGCATAAAAACAGTCATATGGACTTGGAACAGAATACAAAGCCTGTGAATGAAGCCATGCATAAATGGTCAGCTATCCTCAACAAGAGTGCCAATAGGGAGAGGACAGTGTCTTCAATAAATGGTGATAGAAAACTGTTACTTAGGTGGAGAAGAATGAAATTGGATCCTTATCTCACACCATACACAAAAATCAACTCAAAATGGATTCATGATTTAAATGAGAGACTTGGAGAAAACATAGGGAAAATGCTCTTTGACACTGGTCTGGGCAATGATTTTTTAGATATGATACCAAAAGCACAGGCAACAAAAGAGAAAAATAAACAAGTGGGACTACATCAAACTGAAAAGTTCCTGCTTGCAAAAGAAACAATCAGCAAAATGTAAAGGCAGCCTATGGAATGGGAGAAGATATTTGCAAACCATACATTTGACAAGGGGTTAACATTTTAATACATACAAGGAACTCAGAAAACTCCTTTGCAAAAACAGAAATGACCTAATTAAAACATGGAGAACAAGGAGCTGACTTTTTTTTAAAGAAGACATAAGAATGCCCAACAGGTATAAGAGCATCATTGTCCAACAAGGAAATGCAGACCAGAACCACGGTGGGATATCACCTCACACCTATTATAACGGCTGCTGTCAAAAAGACAGAGTGTCGGGGGGAGTGTGGAAAAAGGAACCCTCAAACCCTGTTGGTGGGAAGGTAAATTGGCACAGCGGCTATGGGAAACAGTATGCAGGTTTCCCAAGAAACTAAAAATAGAATTACCATATCATCCAGCAACCCCACTTCCGGGTATGAGTCCGGGAAGAAGTGAAATCGGATCTCTAAGAGCTACTTGTATTGCCATGTTGATTGCAGTGTCATTCACAGTAGCTGAGATATGGAGGCAGCGTTGCCTGTAGACAAGTGAATGGGTAAAAAAAAGGTGTGTGTGTGCAATGGCATGTTATTCAGCCTTAGAAAAGCAGAGGATGCTGTTTGCAACGACACGATGGACTTGGAGGACATTATGCTAAGTGAAATAAGCCAGACACAGAAAGGCAAATACTGCATGATCTCTGTTATATGTAGAACTTTCAAAAGCCAGACTCAGGGCAACAGAGAGTAGATGGGTACTTAACCAGGGCCAGGGGTGGGGGAAATGGGAAAATGTTGGTCAAAGGGTACTAACTTTCAGTGATAAGAAAAACAATATCTGATGGACAGCGTGGTGACTGTGGTCAATAATTACTCTATACTTGAAATTGGCTGAGAGCATATCTCAAGTATTCTCACCACATGTACGAAAAAGGTAACTAGTGACTTGATATGGTAATTAGCCTGATTGTGGTAACCATGTCACAAGGTGTATGTGTATCAAAGCATGTTGTACACCTTAAATATATGCAATTTTTATTTGTCCAGCATACTTCAGTAAGGCTGGAAAAAAATAGAGGAAACTGGGTGACAGAGGTCTGTGGGAGCTCTTCTAAAACTACTCTAAAATGAAAAAGGTATTCAAATGTAAACATCCTTCTAGGTTATGAAATAGTGTCTGCATTAACATTCCATGAATGCGGCACTTACAAGGATTAATTATATTGTTTTTGATGCCATTGCTTAAACATGTTTTTGTACTCAAGAACAAATTAGATACGGCCTCTAGAGGACAGTGCTGGGTCACGGAAAGATTGTACAATTTCTCCCCAAGTTGAAGATGGTCGCAATCATTTTTCTTCATATTTTCTAAGCTCAGGACTTCTGTTTATTCATTATCCCTCTTAAAAAAACAACAATAACAAAGAAAACTCAGGACTCGTCTGCTGTTCTGACTGGTTGGCTGTTTTAACTTTTTTGTGTGTGTGATTTTGGCTCCACAAGGATCTGTTAGGCCAGAAAGACGCTTACATCCCTCAGGGTTTGTGAAAGTTGGTCCCCGGGGAAGCGATATGAGGCATATATTATGTGTTATTTGTGAGTTCTTCCATGATGGAGACAGAAGTATGGAGTTGACTTCCTTTGAAAAACAGTTTGTGGCTTGATGAGGGTGCATGTAAGATAAAGAGGGTTCTACAGTGGCTCGGTGGTGGGAGGAAAGGGAAGAGACCATTGCTCTTGCTTCTGGAGCAAATTTCTGGAGGAGTCAGAATAGCCAACTCATCGTTTTCATTTTAAAACTCCTCTGGAGATAACCTCGTGAGACTGACGTTCTATTTGTCCGAGGCTGCCAGGTAGGGAGTTGCAGAGCGATGCTCAAGCAGCGGAGCCACGTGAACATTAACTTGCAATGCTCACCTTCAACCTAGAAGCAGCTGAAGACAACTGTTCATGAATCGGCGGGCTCAGCAGTTCTGAAACACACAATTCTGTCATTGAATGCGTTGAATTTTCTGCTGATGGTGGAGTCGGAGGTTCCACCACGCTAGGTGTGAATCTGGTGTAAGTGTTAAAAACACTAGTCATTTGGATGACGTTGTGTCACACTTAGCAGCAACCTGTAGGTGTTTTCTTCGTTTTTGCTCCAAGAATAAATCTGTCCAAAACTCATCTGCTGAATTGGGATCTATGAGCCTTTTAATGAGATTTTTGAAAGGGAATGGAAAATTTACAGCTCGCTATAGACAGCCTGACAGGAAAGTTAAGGTCAGTGGTGTTATGTTCAGCTGCTGCATCCAAGCCGAACCCACAGGCAGGGATCTGTTTCGTTCTCATTTAATAGTGCCAAGTCCCAATCATCCTCTTAGGTGTAGTCTTCTAATCTAGGGGCGGTATGACCAAGCTCTGTCTACCATGGAGGTGCTTAATACATATTATGATGATTTAAGATGTAGTTGGTCCTTGCGATGGCGGCGTGTGCTCTAACCTGGTCCCTCATTCAGGGTTTCTTGTCTCAGGGAAAAGCATCACCTTATCTCAGTGGTGTCAGTCAGCATCCTGGGAGTCATCCTTGAATCCTCTGTTTTCTTCCATCGTTACTCATAATGAATGCAAGACCAGGTCCTATCAATTCCGCTTCTTAAATATTTCTTGAAGCCATCCATTTCTCTCTCCATAGCCACCACTCCAGTCTAAGCCCTTGTCATACCTGCTTAGACTACTGAAAAAGCTGCCTCACCCTCAACCAGTGTGCTCTTTCAAAACATGCATCAGCGAGACCGTCGGTGATTTCCCACTGTTTTTGGGCCAGCAGCCTTATCACTGTCACGGGCAAGGAGGCCCTGCAGTCTGCCCTGCCTCTCCCTAGCCTCGTCTTGAAGCCTTCTCGTTGCTCCTTGTACTCCAGCCTCCTAGCCTCCAGTGTGTCAGCAGAGTCTCAGTGCGTGCAGTTTCCTCTTTGTGAGAGTCTCTCCCTCCCGTCTTCGTCTCATTACCTTCTACTCATCCTTTCTAAATCAGCTGGAGTGTTATTTCCTCGTGAATGACTTCCCTGGCCTCCCGGTCTAAGAGGTGCTCTATTTATTTATTTTGACATGGAGTCTCACTCTGTCGCCCAGGCTGCAGTGCAGTGGTACGATCTCGGCTCACTGCAACCCCATCTCCCAGGTTCAGCGATTCTCCTGCCTCAGCCTCCTGTGTAGCTGGGCCTACAGGTGTGTGCCACTATGCCCAGCTAATTTTTGTATTTTTAGTAGAGATGGGGGGTTCACCATGTTGGTCAGGCTGGTCTTGAACTCCTGACCTCAAGTGATCCGCGTGTCTTGGCCTCCCAAAGTGCTGGGATTACAGGTGTGCGCCACTGCGCCTGGCCGAGGGTTCTCTATTGACTGTTCCTACAGACCCGTGCTCCTTCCCTTCACTGTGCTTACATGGATTTACAAGCACACTGTCTTCCTGTTGCTGTGTCTTGATTAATGCATGTCTCCCTTATCAGAGTGTCAACTGTACAGGTTCAAGATGAATGATAAAGAGAAATCTTAATAAAATATATTTGTTGGATGGATAAATGGCTATTTACTTATTGAATGTTTAGATAGAGGAAGAAGAACCCACTGGATACATTCGATTTGAAAAATTTCTTCCGGTGATGACAGAAATACTACTAGAAAGAAGGTAAGTAAGTAAATGCAATTGTTAAGGCAACGCAACGATCAGAATTCATTCAGGACGCTTGGCTCTTTCCCTTCGTATGTTATGTTCAACCAGCGTCTCCTAAGGTGGCCTCCTTCTAACCTTTCTAGATACTTCTGAACTGCCAGTTGGTACATGCTTAGAAATATCAAACACATTCGTGTTAACCTTAGCAAAGCATAATTGGGGGCAAATAAGCTACAAAGATCATAAGTCAACATTCTTATCTTCTGTTTTGAATTATCAATGATAAAAAAGAATCCTAATATTTCTAGCACAAATATAGCATTAGCTTGCCAGAGTTGGTTCATCATGGAAGTCTTGTGCCCACCGAAATTGATTTCTGAAAAGCTAATAGATAACCGCAAACATGTCAGTGATTTTGCACTAAATACTTCCTGTGGGGCTGAGGTGTTCTCCACTTTCACATCCAGAAATCCAACAAGATTTCAGCGAGGCAAGCATTACCATCCCAGTATGTTAGCAGCTTTTACTTCTTCATTTTTATTTTTTGGGCTGGAGTGCCATGGCGCCATCTCAGCTCACTGCAACCTCTGCCTCCCAGGTTCAAGCCATTCTCCCGCCTCAGCTTCCCGAGTAGCTGGGATTCCAGGTGCCCACCACCATGCCCAGATAATCTTTGTATTTTTAGTAGGGACAGGGTTTCACTGTGTTGGCTAGGCTGGTCTTGAACTGCTGAGCTCAGGTGATCCACCTGCCTCAGCCTCCCAGAGTGCTGGGATTACAGGCGTGAGCCACCACGCCCGGCCCTGGTTTGTTTTATGTGGTCATTTATTCATTCCAGTGGTCCCCAACTACCAGGCCATGGACTGGTACTAGTCCCTGGCCTGTTGGGACCCCTGGGCTGCACTGGAGGAGGTGACCAGCAAGAGAGTGAGTGCTGCCACCTGTCAGAGCAGCGCTGGTGCCAGAGTCTCATCGGAGCACAAACCCCATTGTGAACTGCGCGTGGGAGGGATCTAGGTTGTGCTCCTTATGAGCATCTAATGCCTGATGATCTGGGGTGGAACTGTTTCATCCCCAAACCATCCCCCCAACCCCGGTCTGTGGAAAAATTTCCTTCCATGAAACCAGTCGCCACTGCCAGAAAGGTTGGAGACTGCTGCTTTATTACGCAGAGACGATGGTGAATACTATGGCACTGACTCAACCTATTGCATAATTATAGATACAGACCCATTCCAGAAGATGTCCTTCTTCGAGCCTTTGAGGTATGTACACTCCAGCTTATATACATATACATGTATATAAATACAGACATTTATATACACACGTGTATGCTCATTTATGTGAAAAATTCATCATGTAGAACTTACCAAATGAAAAAATAGAATATCTATCTTTTCTTTTCCCCTAGGTTTTAGATACAGCTAACCGTGGATTTCTTACTAAGGACGAATTGATCAAGTACATGACTGAAGAAGGTAAGCGTGATTTAGTGCTTGCAACAGTGACCTACGTGAGGAATTCATGATTTGTCAGCAGTCATGTAAAGTTATGGGGAGACGTTAGAATCAGTCATTCTGGTGGAAAGTTATTTACTGTTCCTACTGTTTTGGTTTGGGGATGGTTTCTGTTCTGTGGGGGTTAAGAAGAGTAGGATAAGGGGAGCTGTGTTGTTGTCTTAGAGGATTTTGTAAAGTATAGTGATTACTTCTGTAATTGCAGTCATTCTGAATGGAATTTTCAGAATAAAAGATATGCCATCTGGAAAACATGAACTATCAATCACTGTAAATGAAGGCCTCTTCCCAGATTGAAGATCTGAATAGGAGTCTCTACAAATTTCTTTCTTTTTTGTTTTTTTTGAGACAGAGTCTTGCTCTGTCACCCAGGCTGGAGTGCAGTCTCAGCTCACTGCAACCTCTGCTTCCTGGGTTCAAGTGATTCTCCTCCCTCAGCCTCTCAAGTAGCTGGGATTACAGGCGTGGGCCACCATGCCCAGCTAATTTTTGTATTTTTAGTAGAGATGGCCGGGCTGGTCTCAAACTCCTGACCTGAGGTGATCCACCCATCTTGGCCTCCCACAGTGCTGAAGGAATTTAAAAATTCCTTTTTAAAAAGCTTTTCTGTTGGTGAAGTTATAGATAATATAGCCTAAATTTAATATGAGGTCATTTTTAACACTAAACATTTCCTCTTTTAATGTTAATGGAACCATATATATATGCTTTGAACATGGCCCTTCATACATATGCATATACACACATAATACCTGCACACTTACATATGCCAACATATTTCCTTGGGAATTCCCTCTGCTAGGCTGATGTGTACATTTGTTTTCCCTGAAGGTCGTCTCCTGAAACCATCCTCATACTGGTGACCTTGCCTTCTCCTGTACAGAGCTAGAGCTCTCTGGTTCACAGATTGAGTTCTGAATGACTCAGAGTTGCTAATCACTTGAGACAGAATCAAAAGTGCAAGTAATCTGGAGCAGGGAAAGCTAAGACTGCATCTACGTGCACAACTGGCTTGACCATTCCAGCGTGATCCATTAGGGGGAATACAGGGAGTGGGAGTAAGAATGACACCGCCATCATAGCTGCCACCCAGGAACTCTCATGCCATGGTCAAAATGATCTTAGGGATTAATTTTGATGGGGATGTTAGGACTTTCAAAGCATCAGCTTCTTTTTTTTTTTTTTTTTTTTTTTTTTTTAGCATCAGCTTCTTAATCCTAAGGATTAGTGTAAAGAAAGTAAATCCTGGGTTAAATATTGGACAACATGAAGTTAGTCAAAATGACCCAAAACAGTGCGATGTTCCTACTGTCGTGTGCCTACTACGTGTTTAGCATTCAGTAAGTGCAGTAAGGTATAAGGACAGTGAAATCTGCTCCCTCTTGCAAGGATATTACAATCTTACTGGGGAAATAACAGTAACATAAAATAGAGACAGCAGAAGACGATAGAAAAATAAATGTATGAAGATCAACCAGGGCCGGACCCGCCTGAAAAGCTTAGTCTGGGAAGACTTAAAGAGAAAATAGGTTTTTTGAGACGGTAGAATGTATATGGTTAAGTTGTCGAGGGCAGAGGTAAACTCTTGTGCATTATAATTCTCTCACATACAGTAGATCTCAACAAATGTTTGCCGAATTAACGAATGGATGAGTAGACGGTGAAGACTAGGCGAAGGGCTCACGAGAGGGAGACCTAGGTGTGTAAAACAGTCTGAACAAAAATGGAGAGGTAGGAATGAACATGCTATTTCAGAGAGAAAATAAGCCTAGCTGGCCCCGAGGGTGGCTCTGGCAAACAGCGGGAAATTAACTTCAGTAGATTGACTGGGACTAAACTGTAGAGTCCCAGGATCAGGAGTTTGGAATTCATCCTGTGGGCAATGGAGAAGTCCTACAGGCTTTTGAGCAGATGAGTCACAAGGTGTGTGAGTGATCGTGAGAAGGTTTTTCTGGTGCTGGTCGGTTTGTTAGATTCATGAGAAAGAGGTTGGACCAGGGAGACCAGTTAGAAGCTTATTTCAGCATCCTGAAGGCACCCAAATAAGGGCCTAACCTGGCAACGGCAATGGGAATGGAAAGAAGGGATTGATACAGGACTGTCTGCGGCAGAATCCGTGGGTCATGATGACAGAGCGTAGGGGACAAACATGAGAGCTGAGTCACAAGTAACACCAAGGCTTTGCCCTCGAGCGCAAGTGTCATGGTAATGCTGCTGACGGAAACAGCAAAGTCAGAACAGACTGCAGTGTGTACAGAGGCGGTGCGCTCGTGTGCTTTGCCCTGGGGAGCTGTGTGATAATTGCCAAGATGGTATGTTTACAGGGAGTTCATGGTACTCAAAGATCGACTACTGGGTCTCTCAGGGGACCAAGCATAGGACAGGTATTTTCAAATAAGAACATGTATGATTTCAACGATTCATTCAACAAGTGTTGTTACAAACCTTCCGCATAGATGAGCCAGTACGTTTGGAAGTAATGCGTAAGATGTAAATACTGTACAAATCTAAGTTATGATTTCATATCACAGACCCATCAGCTAAGTGTAATAGCAGTTGACTAGTTTGGTAAATAGTGGCTTAAGAATTGTTGCTTTGAGATTCTCAGAATTCTACAAATTGTTTTTAAGTACATTTATGCTATATAACAATATGGATTAAAGTTACTTACCCAGTCTTTATAATATCCGCCAAGCATCAAACACTAGTTTGAGCGTATACATTCTTCCTGCCCAGGATGTCATTTGATCAACAAAATAAATCACACTGAATCAAGTTCCTACGAGATAGAAGTCTGTAGGTGTCCAGCAATGTGTATTGCATCAGACAGTCTTTAGCAGCAGGGAAGATCTCAGAACAGTTTGTAAAACAAACACTTACCTGTTGCCGCTTCTGTGCCAGGTACCGTTCTAAGGACCGTTCAAATAATAACACGTTGAATTCTCTTGACAACCTGTGTGATGGGTAGTAGTATTGTCATCTTCATTTTAGAGACAGGAAAACTAAGGTATCGCGCAGTTAACTGACTTGCTCAAGATCTTAGAGCTAGTAAGAGGCAGCCAGCATTTGAATCCAAACTGTGCTTTTAACCATTAGATTATTTTCTTTCCATCTTTAATCAAATACTGGGACTTCAAGTTCATCCTTTGGTAATTTCAAAAGTTTTAATCTAAATAAACAACCTTGTTCATGGTGTCTTTATGTCTTCCTATTGCTTTGCCTGAAATGACGTGTTCTAGAGGTTGCTTGATCTGTAACATCTGCAGGTGAGAAGAAGTCCAAAATCTGCCAGGGTATTCGCTAGTCTTCTCTGTGAACCTCTGCACTGTCGTGATGTGCTGGCTCTACAGCTGCAGGGAGAGGATCTAGTGACTTTGTGGGGGTTTGTGGGCTCCATGGCTATTAAGCTGGCTAGCGGAAAGAGAAAGAAAAAAATCAGATGATCATAAATGATACATTTTCCTTTTTGTCTCTCCAAGGTGAGCCTTTTTCTCAAGAGGAAATGGAAGAAATGTTGTCTGCTGCAATTGACCCAGAATCAAATTCAATTAATTACAAGGACTATATATCAATGATGGTGATAGATGAAAATTAAATGTTCTAAAGATAATTTCTAAGTACAAGGACAATTGTAGAAATTGCTTGTCCTTGTTAATTTCACATCTTCTCTCACGATTCCTGTATGTGATATTTAATACCTTGTGACATAAGTATTTTAAGATACTTTGTTTTTAAAAATGACCATAACACTTTAAAACAAATTTATTATGTCTAGCCTTACAGAATGATATGTTCCTATTTATTTAAAACCAATTCTGTCCAGGCACGGTGGCTCACACCTGTAATTCCAGCATTTTGGGAGGCTGAGGCGGGCGGATCATAAGGTCAGGAGTTCGAGACCAGCCTGGCCCACGTGGTAAACGCCATCTCTACTAAAAAAAACAATAAAAAATTAGCCAGGCGTGGTGGCAAGTGCCTGTAGTCCCAGCTACTCAGGAGGCTGAGGCAGAAGAATCACTCAAACCCAGGAGGCAGAGGTTGCAGTGAGCCGAGATCTTGCCACTTCATTCCAGCCTGGGTGACAGAGTGAGACTCAAAAAAAAAATATTAAAACATTTTAACATTAGAATGGATCGTTGTTTATTTTCTACAATAAAACTCAGGTTATCTTCAAATTAAGCTGACAAAAGGAAAGTGCCTGTAATGACCCCAGGTTTGGCATATAAAGATCTAAGAGGGGGCAGAACGACCACCGGTGAAAATGAGTAGCACCATGATGGCTTCTTTTTTAAACAATAACAAACACTTAATCAGTCTGAGTGTGGGAGGAGATTTATCAAAATAAATACTAATAATTGATTTTCTATGAGTGCCAATTACAAATACTGTTTGAGATTACAATAACTTAGTGTAAAAATTAAAATTTGCGGATTCAGCGTGATACCACTTACGGAGTAGCTAAAGGCGTTGAGGTCATTGAAACTAGAGGAAAGAAGGCGGAGTGGAAATGAGAATGGAAGGTGGTGGCAATTCTCTCTTTGTCTTTAGAAAAATTCTCACCCGTGCAGTGTACCTGCCATGGAATGTTGTCCTGAATACTGAGTACTGTGTGAAAAGTACAGCTCCTGAGAGAACAGAAGAAAATGATTTATGCACCTCTGAGTACAAGCAGTCACAATGGAGAAATGGAAAACACAGAGCCTCTTACAAGCAAAGGGGACGATAAGGTAAAGGAAAATGAACAATTTTCCATAACTTATATATTATTTTGTAACAACACACACACACACACGCACACGCGCACACACGCATCTCTATTTAAAGATGGCTTTTTCATTATATTTGTGTATCTACATGTATGTAAACATTTCAAGTTGCTGTGAGCCTTCCTCAGGCATGTAGTCTTGCCCCTAGAAGAGGAAGCTGCTACCCAAGAGATTGTTTATCACTGTTCATTCATTCTTGAAACACTGAATGAGTGTCATTAGATAATGTGCTAGGAACCAGAGTCCCTAAATAATCCAGGTCACAGTTTAGTGAGGAAAACAAGTCAGTCAGCAGCCAATTTCAGATAGGAGCTCGTTCAGGATACTGTAGAAATGCAGAGGAGAGGCAGCTACTCAGCCGTGCAGAGAGGGAGCTTTCTGGGAGATGAAACGTGCTGGTGTGTGGAGAAGGCTTACCAGGACAGGAAACACTTGACTTGAAAACGAGCAGTTTAGTAAGCAGCGGTGGGGCACAGGGCGTTCCAGCAGCTGAGCAGCAAGCACAAAAACCCTAGAGGTGTCATGAAACAAGGAGCCCCTGGGAATTGAAAGCAGCTCAGTAGTGTGGAATGTAGAGATTTGGGGGTCATGATGAGGGGTGAAACTGGAGTGGCAAACAGGAGCTGTATCGTTAAGAATATCGGGGTAGGTGTTAAGTTTCAGAGTTAGAATTTGGACTTTATTCTGAAGATCACAGAGAAAGAGCATTTGTAAGCAGCATCAAAAATATATTTGATGGGTCACACCTAGAAGTGAGCCCAGCTTGTAGGCTGTTTGGTTTGTGGGAGGGATAGACTGGGAACAGTCGAGCATGAATCCCAGGTTTCTGGCTCAGACAGACGATGGGTAAAAGTGCCATCCGTTCCGATAACAAATCCAAGTGGGGCATCGGTGAGCAAAATGAGTTTGGGTGCAGACATCCTGGGACGCCCAAAGGATGACGTTCGATAATCAGCTGGATATAGAAGGGAGATCTGGCTGAGGCCTGGATTTTGGAGCTCTCAGCATGTAAGTAGTAATTAATGCCTTGAGAGGAAAAGAGAAGAGAGTCTAGAACAAGACCATGGGGAATATCAGCATTTAAAAGAAGGCAGAGGAAGAGGAGCCCACAGAGGGATGGGTAAGGAGAAGCTTGGGCAGAGGGGAAGCTGGGAAGAAGCATCGTGGATGCCAAGCTCGGAGAGAATCGCAAGGAGGCGGCCGTGGCCATGTCAGTTGTAGTGGAGAGGAGAGGTCAGTTAAAGAGGGAAAAAGCATCCATCAGGGTCCTCAATGAAGCGTTCACTGAGGACCTCTCCCAGAGCAGAGGTGGGGGAGCAGCAGGTGTCGAGTTGAGTGGACTGAGGAAGGAATGGCTGTGAGAAGGCCGGAGGACAAGTTACTCCGCAGTGAAGAGAAGGAAACAGACAGCAGCTGAGGGGGCGATTTTGGAAGACGGGAGGATGTAGGCACGTTCACCGACAGTCCAAGAGCCGAGAGCCCGCAGGGAGGGTGAAGACAGCTTCCGGGGCGATGAAGGGACTTAGGAAGGAACAGTGATCCCCAGCCTGTGGATCCTACTTCACGGCCTCTGTTGTCTTCTGAGAGGAAGGTCGTAGATCATAGGGCTTGAAGAGAATGGTGGAATTTTGGAATATCTCTTGTGGGAAATGGGAGAAAGAGTTGAGGAAGACCCCATGTAAGGATTTTCAAGAAACCCTGGAAGATTTTGTGCTCGAGAGCAAAGAAGAAAAAAGGTAGATTGTCGTAGGGCTTCAGGGTTAAGGTTGTGTCATGTGGGTGAGGTGGAAGGAACCAAAGGCCGAGGGAGCTGAGTAATCTGCGAGAAAGCAGTTCTGGTGGTGTCTGTGGGGCCAGCGTACTAGGAAAGACCCGGTAGGCTGCGCGGGCTAACAGACGGGAGGGGTTCTAGGCTCCGGGTCTCTAAAAGGGCAGATGGCTGCTGTTGGTAGCAAAGGATGGTCGTTCCTACCATTCCTGAGTGATAATATGTTTCCCTGGAAAATTCGCTTCACTCTGTTCTTAGGGTGTTTATTTTCTTCTCCTGTTTATTTGTTTATCTGAGACAAAGTTTCACTCTTGTCGCCCAGGCTGGAGTGCAATGGCGCAATCTCGGCTCACTGCAACCTCCACCTCTCGGGTTCAAGTGATTCTCCTGCCTCAGCCTCAGGAGTAGCTGGGATTACAGGGATGTGCCACCACGCCTGGCTAATTTAGTATTTTTAGTAGAAACGGGGTTTCTCCATGTTGGTCAGGCTGGTCTTGAACTCCTGACCTCATGATCCACCCGCCTCAGCCTCCCAAAGTGCTGGGATTACAGGCGTGAGCCACCACGCCTAGCTTTTTCTCCTATTTATTATGTGAATAGGTAGTAAGAGTGGCTCATATTCGCGGACTGTTCTGTGTCGCAGGCACTGTCCTGAGTGCTTCAGGTACATGAACTCATTTAATCCTCACATCCACCCATCGGTGTAGATGCTGGTAAGTTGCCCTCATTTTACAGGGGTGGAATCAGGAAGTCACGCAACAGCAAGGGGCTGTGTCAGCTTTTTCACTGATCAACTCCCACACGTCAGGGGCTGAGAATAAAGCTGATTTCTGTTTACGTCTTTTGTCAGCTGAGGTCATCTGGGACCCTGCCCTGTGTGTCTTCTTTGTTCTACTCATGGCCTGGAGAAGTAGGATGACAATATGTGCTGCTTTGCCCGGGGTAGTCCCAGACTACGCCCGTCCCAGTGTAATTATTGATTGGTCTCCTTGTTACTCTTAGAAATGTTCCAGTTTAGATGATTAATGTGTGGTCATCCCATTCAAAAAATAGTGAGTGAAAGTGACGGTGAGGAATCATCACTTATGGAGGGCTTTCTGACCGATGATTCTAGCAGTGGTAACAGTGGAAGGCATTTCTTCCTTCTCGTTTCCCAGGATAATTTTTTTCCCGGGATGACCTGAGATTTTCCCAAGGTAAAATCCAGGTGGAGAACTGATCGCCTCCTGCTTGGCGGTGCATGTCAGAATCACCAGCCAGAGATGAGAATGAGCCGCACACCCTCAGGACGGGGCGGAGGCGGAAGAGGAAAGGAGGGTGGTGACCCTCAGAGCACCAGCAGACAGGCTGTTTGTGACAGGCAGTGCTTTGCAGCTGGGAAGGAGGGTGGCCGAGATAGGAAATAACCTTTGGGGTGGACACATACCCAGGGGCGTATCCGTCGGCAGCAGGGGCCAGCACGGTCATGCGGCGGTAAAGCGCGTGCCAGCGCCTGATGCGTAAACACAGGCGCCGACTTGTTTGGAGCATTCAAGACAGCTGTGGGTTGAATCCCGTAAGCCATTAAAGAACCGCCGTCTGGTGAACGAACCCTAATCTCCTGACAATCAGGGGATGACACCGTATTCTCTCTCCGAAGAGACTCTTGTGCACTGAGGGCGGTTGCGTACCTCCCCAGGTCCCACCTTAGAGGAGTGTTTCAAACGTTCTGACTGATGTTAAGCTTCACATCTTGTCTCAAGGGAATCCTCTCTTTAGTATCATAGAGTTGGCTTTACGGAATGTAATTAACTTTTATCTTTAGCACAAACGTGTCTGTTTCTTTTAAGGCCACCGGAAGGTGCAATAGAGGCTTCCTACAGAAATCTCATTTTATCTCCTGAGTTGCAGAATAAATGTACCTTATTTGCAAAGAGAACACTTTTCTTTACACCCAAACCACTGCAATGTGTATTTTGCCTCTTCAGCTCCCCGACCTTGCCCTCAGCATGCGATTTAAATCACCATGGCATTTCCTGACTAGGAGAATGCTTGGTCTCTTGTGCAGAACGTTTGCTTACCCTCGTGACTCTTGGCTTCTGCAGACCCTGCCAGCTCTGCCGGGCCCTGTGGAAAGCCCTCTCTGTGCTCGCACTGCTGGGCAAAGTGCATGACTTCAGGCCTGAGAGTCTTGCAGTCTTGCGCTCTGATCCCGGCTTTACGTGTGACTCACTCTGGATCAGGCGCTTCATTCACCCCCTGTGCATCTCTGTCTGCAAAATAGCCCAGCTCTAGTCCTTCTCCCACCCGAGAGTCCCCTTTGCAGTCACCCAGTGTCTAAGTGCCAGATGCCTAAGAGATGCAAAAAAGAGAGTCCACCATAGCAGGCTAGCTGGGCTTATGACTGAGTTCAGGGCAGGAGGATTTTCTGTGGGATGGAATGTGTTTAGATCTTTCTCTCCTACTTTCCTGTCTTCCTTCCTTTCCCTTTCCTAAATGCTTCCATATGAGAAAGTTCCCTGCTTATACCAGCAGTTTCTGGAAGATGAGTGTCACATTACCCTCCTGGGCCACTTAAATAGACAAGAGAGACTCATGGTCGCATCTGCTCCCTGC